GAAATATATTTATGTTTGTGGTTGTAATGTGACAAAATATGGAAAAGTTCAAGGGGTATGAATACTTTTGCAAACCACTGTATATAGCATGGCATCATCATCATCAGTAAGATTCATCTGTATATATCAATGATGAGCATTGCTGTCGAGAATACCGACTTATTCACTTGTTTTTAAAACATTAATCCCCACTTATGACTTCAATGCTTTTCACAACACACTTTATTCAGTCAATGCTAATTAATATATAAAAATATCAGCTTAACAAGTTGGTTTTGAAATCACTGAAACCCATGCACTGACTAACCAATGCTTCATAACAAAACATTCTAAACAAGGTAGCGCTGCTGTAAACATAAATCCACCGTATTAACAAGGGCTAATGTTAGCAACAGTTTTCAAGTCATTGTTTCAGAGGACGTTAAAGAACAGGAGGACATCCCTGCGTTCAGCAGGAAGAAACACTTGTGAGACAAACAGAAGTCTCCAAAGCAGTAAGATGGGAAACTAAAGATGGGAACAGATTTAAAGCCACTGAGAAATTGAATGAAACCAATAAATCTCTTAAAATCACATATTTCTGTCCTGACGGATTCTCTAATGATTTATATATTTATAAATAAAGCAGCATCATAATCCTGAAGAGATCCAATAATCAGACAATAAATCAAACGCATGTCTTTTAACTTGCATGTTTGCCTTGATTACCAATAATATAAAAAAATAACACATACCCTCTAAACTACCATAATCTACCATAACAAGATGAATGACAACAGCAAATTCTTGTTTTGTATTGTCTAATTGGTGCATGTGTAAGGTAGTTTGGTCATCTTTTAGGCAACCGATAATGAGCAGGTTAAAGGCTCACATGGCTATGAAACTCAGGAGAAAAGTACGAGTTAATCAGGTAGGTTCCCACTCAAAGGCATGCATTCAACCGAACATGTTTCACTTACACAGATGACCACAAACACTTGGTTCTGTCCTGAAGAGAATGACTTGTTCTGAATGTGTCACAGTTACCTTATGTTGCATGATTTTTATTTAAGTTTGGTCTTTGTTGGTATCACTAAAATGAGTTCTAGTGATGTTGATGTCTTACAACTAATAACTCTCAGTAAGTTGATTCTGTGAAGCAGATTCAGCTCATGCAGGGATCTTTAGCTCACTTAATAAAGATCACAAAATGGTCCAACGCTGGTGTCACATTTGGAAAAACAGGAGTTCCTCAATTTGGATTCATGGTAAAAACAATAAAAAAGATTCAGTCTCTGTGTACAGTTTTAAACTATACTGTATCGTGTTAACTATACATTTTTGTTTTATAAAAGGTGGGTTCTTTTAAAATGATGTTTAATTCAAACTGAAACGGCCTGTTTGGTTTCTTCACATGCCAGTCAAGTTTAAATCGACAGTGGGTTGTAAAGGGATTCTCCTCTCTTAGTATTCTTTCTGTTTTACCTTACAGCCTGGAATTTATTTGAGTTTTAACTTGATTAAAAGTAATTATTCTACCCAATCTGTCAGATTGAGTTAAATAGGTGAGAAATGTTTTAAGTAAAAAAGAAGAAAAAAAAAGATGTCTGTATATCCACCCTTTCAAAGTCCATACTTTGTAGAGCAGGGCTAATAAACTGGTGGCCCGCTGGCCACATCTGGCTGTGGGTGACTTCCATCTGGCCCGGTGGGGCCTCCTTTTTATATTTTAAATGTAAAATTATATTTTAAATCACATGTAAATGTTACATTTACATAATGCAGGGTTTCCCTTACCATTATCTGGAAATTTTTCACAAGTTTTTTTTTATAAATATAAACTAACACTGATTTGTATTTCTTCCAGTGTTGTATAAAGTACCACAAAGTGATACTTGAGTAAAAGTACCAGTATGTTACCAAAAAATAACTTTGGTAAAAGTTAAAGTCTCCTTTAGGAATATTACTTGAGGAAAAGTCTTAAAGTATCTGATATTTTTTGTACTTAAGTATGAAAAGTATAAGTATTGATTTAAAATGAGCAGTTAGATTTTCTTTAATGACATTTATTAGGAGGTGACCTTCCAAAAAAACACAGTAATGACTATATTGTATCAAAAATAATTAATTTATGTTGAATTCAGGATGCACTAGTCCAGCTGTTTCAGTTTATATACATATATCAAAGCTGCACAAACCTTTTCTCCAAAATAAAAATCTATCTGAGGGCTGCGGCCAAATGTAATAATATAATTCATGAAATACAAATACTTCTTAAGTACAGTCCTTTTATTTTAATGATTATGTCCTGCTGGAGTGTGACATGATTTGTTTGTGTACAAACTAATACGGTATCAGAATTATATTTATACTTCTCATTCAACCACAATTAAATTCACTCTATCTAGGAGGCACAGTTTATATGGATAGTATTTATTTTTACAACAACAAGCTGGAATGAAAGCAAGCAAAAGTAAAAGTAACGACATACTTCTTGTAGAAAGTACAGTAGAAAGTACAGATAATTGTGTGAAAATGTAAGAAGTAGAAGTAAAAAGTAGGCTAAAAATAGTTACTCAAAGTACAGAAACCCAAAAATTCTACTTGACAGTAACAAAGTATTTGTACTTAGTTACTTTACAACTCTGATTTCTTCAGAGTATTTAACCTTTTAAAGCTGTGTGAAGAATTACCGCTTAGGGGTATTTTGTACTAGTGAGGGCCATCAGAACAGGTTTATATCATTTCATACTGAATCTTCTGGAGAAAATCATTTGGGCTTAAACACAAACATGATAAATGTTGTACATTTGCACACACCGTTCTTAGTTCCGCATTTTAGAATAATTTGCATTATTTACGCATGTAATCAAACGAATGAAATTCCAGGTTTTAAGGCAACAAACATAGGTTTGGCGGTACTTTTGCATCCCACTGTAATTTAAATATTCCTCCCCTTTGACTACCCTAATAATCCCTTTCCTTCTGCCACAGAGACATGAACGTGAAAGCAACGCAGTACCACGTAGAAGCACAAGCACTTCAGCAGAAGAACGAACACCTCTGCTTCGACAAGACAAACATGTAAACTCCACCCAGCTTGTACTCTGAACCAAAACAATTGATGCTGTATTTTGTTGTAAAGTTTACAGAACTGCCAAAGAAAGGCCCTGACTGTTTGTTTTTTTAAACGATGTGATGATTTCTTACCCTAGGAGTGATGTGTCTGCATTTGTGACAGTTTAAAATGTTTACTTTTACTGCTTAGCTGGAACATTTTTTCATTTTTTATCACTTCCTCAACAACACACACAACTACTGCTGGTAGGAATTTATTCTTTAATTTTAAAGAAGTTTCTGGTTTGGCCACAAGGGAACAAAAAAAATCACTTTCTTTTTAAAAAAATCACGTGTTTAGTATTTTTAACCACTGTGCCTTCATCATGGAGGAAAGTTTCTTTATTGTAGATAACATCCAGAATGTTGTTTTTATGTGCAATGAACTTTACGAAGAGAACATGAGTTGGTTGTTGAGGCTCAGCAGGACGACATCAGTGAGTCAAACTGAGTTAACACTCCTCTTTGTAGACTCTTCTTCTGTACAAGTTCCTTCAAATATACGCACAAAAATATGCTTTTTGTGGAAAAGTACCTTTTCATTGTAAAACATGTATGAGTTAAGGAAAACCTATAGGTAATAAATACATCAGTGTTTAACATTGGTGAGGAACAAATCTTTGTGTCTCATTGATGATTTGATTCAAATAAAACTAAGAAGAAAGAAGACGGCTGTGGCAGAGTGGGAGAGCCGTCCTGCAACTGTTGGGTTGCCAGTTCAATCCCTGTGCCACTGTTCCATTCATCTCAGTTGTTGTGACCTTGAGCATGGCACTTCACCTGCCTTGTCTGATAGTGGTGGTCACTGGGCCTGATGGCACCAGTGTATGGCAGGCTCACCTCTGTCCGTCTGCTTCAGGGCAGCTGTGGCTACAATGTAGCTTACTACCAACAGTGTGTGAATGACTGTATGTAATGAATGTATGGAACTGATAAAGCACTATAAAAGTTCAGGCCATTTACTAAGAAAAATGTTTTCTCGAATTTGGATATTTCACTTTGATGAATGTTTCATGTAACCATAAAGGCCTTAAATAATGATTTTTTAGTTATGAAGACCCCCACACGCGAAGCGTAAGCGGGAGTCATATTGTTTTCGTATTGTTTATTTTTTTTCAGTGATTTTTGGTCAACCGTAGCACAAAAACGGCTGCATCAATCAACATGAAATTTGACAAGGCTGTAGAAGAGTCTGACCTACACTGCACCAGCCAACGGTTTTATGATAGACCCCATATTTGAGGAGGGGGCTCCATCCAAAGAGGGGATGTCTGGACATGCAAAAATGCTTATAACTCCGAAACTGTTCAACATAGAAGCTTCAGATTTCTTTTGCTGTTTAGCTCTGATGAAGCTCTATCCATCAGCCTACCAATCAGTGCCCCCCCCCAAATAAATAAATAAAAAGACCCCCACCAAAAACACTAAAATTTTGGGATGCACCTAGTAGCATGACATTTATTAGGAATAAAGACTTCTAAGTTCTGGTGCATTTGTTTGTGCGGGGGTCGTTATGTTACCGCTATGCAGTATCCAGTTCACAGGAGCCCAAACTGGGGCCCGCGGGCCAAATTTTGCCCCCCAAGCCATTTGATTTGGCCCACCAACAGTTGCCAAAGTTACAAGGTTGTAAACTGTTATCCTATAGGTAGAAAAACAGTATTTCCATTGGTCAGATGACTATATAAAAGGGCTGTAGTGAAGGCAGTTTTCATTCATGGTGCTGACTTTATCTTTGATTTATTAGGATTAAACATGAAAAATGAAATGACAACAAGAAATATTTAGATCAGATTTAACCCCACGTGTAGATTTGCACACTTTATAAAGCCACAAAAACTCATATTTTACCAATTTATGAAATGTCCCATAAGCCTTTGCTACTTAAGCGTATGGCAGACTTTCTCCAAGTGCACAGAATAAAACAAAAGAGGGCCATTGCACAGCTTAACCGTTAAAAATAAAGCACTTTACTTAAAAAAGTATTTGTATTTCATGTATTATATAACTGCATTTGGCCCGCAGCCCTGGATAGATTTTCATTTTGGCCCCCTCGGGGAAAATGTTTGGGCACCCCTGGTCTAGTTCCACTTATTGATGTCCATTTAAGGCTGAAAATATGAAACTGGAAAAGATTAGCAGTTCCCATTTAGAACAGAATGATACACTTGAACGTTAATGTAGTTTTAAGTTTTCAGTTTCACCTTTTTTTTTACTTTCTCAGATTAGACCAATGCCATGAAAGCTCCTCAAAAACAAAGCAGGGTGTCTCTCCTGTGTGTCTGCCAGAATGCAGACACACAGGGGCTTGAAAGGGATAAAATATATAAACTAAAACAAAAGCTGACAAGGGAGCAAAACCTATAAAATGCAAGTTAACAGGTAACATGAAGGAACATGGATGAGATCAAGACTGTACACTCTGAAACAAAAATATCTGACTTGGGTGGGAGGCTTGACTTGGAGGGCAAAAACCAAACGCAAAAAGTAATGAGCAAAACAAAACAACAAAAAAGGATTTAATCCTGGAATATAAATGAGCGATCCAACACAAAAAGATTTAGAGAAGGCTCTGGCATGTGAAAACAGAGGGAGAGAGTTTGGGTGCATGAGCCGGGGCATCTAGATCACAGGCAGAGTTTAAGCAGGCAGCTCGAGGCACATCAAGTGGAGCATCTTCCCAGATCCCTTTAGAGCAGGGGTGGGCAATCATGGTCCTCAAGCGCCGCAGCCCTACGTTTTGCATTTTTCTCTGCTCCAACACTGAAGTACCCCTTCCAAGTTCTGCATTATGGAGGACCGAAACTGACATAATTAGAAATAAAAGCAGAAATAGATAAATGCACCTTTAAATAAATAAATACATTTAAAATGCTCCAAATAAATTAAAAAGGAGAACTTTACCTCATGTTTTATAATTTAACTGGCCTTCATATTTATTTTCCCAGCTTAGTTCCAATAAATTAACACATAATTTAAATTTTAATGTTTTTTAATACGGTAAATATTTTACATCGTGTTTCCTTTTGCTTGTACATGCATTTGTCTCTTGAATGCTTAAACCGAATTATTTTCATAATTTTTTTCCAACAACTCTTTTTATTTCTATGTGTTGCTCGCTTCCATACAGTTTAGCTTAAAGTTTAGTTCAAAATAAATGCACAGGTAATGTCTTTGCCTTTGTTTTAAACTAAACTTTAGACTTTTAGCTAAACTGAGGCAGCACAAGCATGCAACACATAGAAATAAAAATACTTAGAAAAAAATGTAAAAATAATTAGGGGCGGCTGTGGTGTAGTGGTAGAGCAGCCGGCTTGGGACCTGAAAGTCTTAGGTTCGACTCCCCGCCATACCCACATGTCGCGGTGTCCTTGAGCAAGACACCTAACCCTCACTGCTCCCCGGGCGCCTCACATGGCTGCCCGCTGCTCCACTTGGGTGTGGATGGGTTAAATGCAGAGCACAATTTCGTTATTGTGTGGAAACATACACTGATGACAAATAAAGCACCTTTACATTTAAGACACACAAATGCATGCACAAGTAAAAGGAAAAACAATTTATATATATTTTAAAAAACTGTAAAATTGAAATTATGTGTTCAAATAGACTAATTTGTTGCAACTAACCTGGAAAAATAAATATGAAAGTCAATTAAAATATAAAACAGGAGATAAAGTTATTTTTAAATTTATTTAGTGGTTCAGTCGGTATAATTCTGCTTTTATTTCTAATTATGTCAGTTTTGGTCCTCCATACTGCAGAAGCCTGATAATCATCTATTCATTCATGTCAGGTGTGTTGGAGCAGAGAAACAAGTAAAACATGCAGGACTGCGGACCTCCAGGACCAGGATTGCCCATGCCTGCTTTAGAGACAGAGCTGGACCCTCTCATGGGCTGAGCAGAGAGGAATTGTGCTCGATCTTCTCAGAGGTGGGATGACAGGCATCCATTTGGACTCTTTCAGAAGCTGAGACGTTGTCATCAACCAGTCAATCAAAACTTTATTGATATAGCACTTTACACACCCCAAGGCAACCAAAGCGCTGCACAGCAAAAACAAAAAAAATTATGTCATGTCCAATCATCTCAGAGGCATATGAAGGAGACGCACCGTTGCCAGAAATTTTTATCATCAAAATGTCTGCAAACATTAAAGCTCCACCTGATGTAAAGGTGATGCCCCCAGGGCCCCAAAAGCCCTATACACAGAGCCGGACCTGCCTATAAGCTAATTAAGCAGCTGCTTAGGGCCCCACGGCCACTAGGGGCCCCTAGACAGAAGCATGGTAAACTGAACTGACCACAGAGTTAATGAGATGGGCGTAATGAACGTGGGGTACACGTGGGACATGTCCCCCTCACTTTCCATGGCTGTGTCCAAAACATCAGGCCGGGTCCTCCAAAGGTGGAATTCGTCGGCCGCATACGTCACAGCGCCGCGACGAAGGACGTCCAAAACCGAAGACTCCTCCGATGCGGCCGACAAATACGTCCTTCCTTTGGCCCGAATCGAAGGACAGGTCCGATGGATCCTTCCCGGCCCAGCATATCCCATAATGCATTGCGGCCCGACCGGAGATTTTTTTATGCTAGTAATGGCGGACGAAGCGAGAGAAAAGAACATGTTTTAAATAAAAAATATGGTGATATAAAAATAAAAAAAATTCAGCGGTTGTAATTCTAATACTTTTATCATTTGTATGGACATGTTTTTACATATAATTTTTTCATCATTAAAAACGTTAAATAATCATGAACTTACAGCAGGTCAATTAGTTCTTCAAATGATACTTTTAAGTAAATTTTATAGTTTTGTGATATTAATAATGCTAATGTATTGATATTTTTCTAGTTTTGATTTACGTTTGCTTGTTTAGCGTTGTCACAGTTGCTAGGTGAC